CAACACACATTTTCAGTTAAGTCTCCTCATCAGTTGTATCAGCACTTTACATTTGTGAAGAAACAAAAGCTGATAGGATAGAATCTTTCACTATAGCTCCTACTATAAAGCTGGCTGTGTTCTTTATGTTAATCAGCCTCCACTGAATGCCACAGTGAGAGCCTGTAGCCGTAGCTTTAGCTTGTGAAGAGTATACCTGAGACTCCAGCGTTGGCCAGTGCAGCCGGGCCCCTCGGAGAGAGAGGGCGCTGCGCCGCCGAAAGCTGGGGCTGCGGTACCCCTGCTAAGGGACGCCTTCCCTGGGGTGTTTGGCCGGTTTCTGCCTCCTCTTGATGGTTCTTCAGAAGAGATGTGGGGGCAGAGCCTCTGGAGGGCCTGGAGGAGAAATGACATTATTGAAACGTCTGCTCAACTTTACATTTCAAATGTTATGTTATTTGTTCAGTAAAGTTAAGGGTGGACACAGAGCATAGCTCCGTACAATTATACAATGACACACAATTCACACTGTGCGAATAAAGTCGTTACAGAATATGTTAACGTCTTACATTGAATTGAGTTGACCCTTTATCTATCTTGAAAGGACTTTTGTGTTGAAATTTAATTGGCAAATGCCAAGTTTACTGTATAAAAAAAAGTAGTACCGCTAATTTTCGACTATAAGCCGCCCGCCTTTCCCTCTTTTTCGACGCTGCCGGTTTATATAACAGCGGTGCTGGCTAATCTATGGAATTTTTACAGCTAACGGCCACACCTTAACTCTTGGGCTCTATGGCCGGTCCGCGGACCCCCAACTTTAAGCGGCCGGGTTCCAGGCAGGAAAAGCTGTGAGGCCGGAAAAGAGTGAGACAGGTAGCGCCGCAAAAAGTAAAAGTGGTACCGAGGAGTGGGTGCGAGAGCAGAACGAGAGCAAGACGACACACGACATTACGAGAGCGAGACAGTTTGTCCGCGTACCACTGGTTGAGAAACCTTGCTGTAGATCACTGCCGGTACGTGCCCTGGGAGCCGCACCGTTTAAGTTTGAAAGTTGAAAAGTGTGTGTGTCTGAAACGCTATGTGATACAGTACAGTTTTACCACAGCACATGTTCTGTAGCTACTATTGCACTCTAAATGGTAACATTGAATACGTTATGCAAATATATGCAACTTGTTTGTTGAAATGTTAATACCTTGGCAGTCTAAATGGGAGCTTCCTCAAACAGCCATCTCTTTCCCGACAATCCCCTCTGTGCACGAACCCTTACATATGGTAATTAAACATTAAAACACCTGCGGCTTATAGTCCAGTGCGGCTTATATATGTACACATCATTCAATTTAGCTGCTGCGGCTTATATTCAGGTGCGCCTTATAGTCCGAAAATTACGGTAATTCAAAAACCAATATAAAACAATTATTATTTAAAGTTGCATTTGTCTTTCATGCCACTGTGATGCATTAAATCAAAGTCCATGTTTGACTGTAAAACTCCTAATCAGATAATTAAGACACTCAGAAGTGTTAGCAACCACCAGAAGGTATTGTAAGAAGCAACAGTGAATCCTTACCAATGGTTTAGGATTGACCTCAGTTGCGACCAGTTTGAGCAGGCAGCGCAGGACCCGCTGCGTCCTGTTGGGCTTCAGCTGACCCGAAGCTTGTCCGTCTTCCTGGTTGCTGAAAGGAGCGCCGATGGGCTGCCACTCGTACTCCAGCTGCAGCTTGCCAGGCTTCCCGAACATCAGGTAGAGCTCGGCCAGAGTCACATTCTCTGCGTCGCGGGCGCTCCAGCCCTCGCCTCTGATCTGCTCTACAGCTCGCTCTTTGGATCCCTGCAACATTCCCTCTTCCGAGCACGGATTCTTTCCCGGGGGCGTCTGGTTAGCTTCTGGGGAAGACGTGCAGGTCATCGGCTCTTCTTCGCACTGACCCAATGAACCTTCTGTACCGCTACACAACTTATCCATGCTTTTAGTCCCTGCTAAACCACTACCAGCCTCCACACCAGTAGAGTGTCCCCCTTCCCACATCCCCTCTTCCCTTTGAGTCACAGTCTGCTGCGAGGAGGCAGCCATAGTCTTCTCCTCTACCTTTGGAGAACAGTCTTGTGAAGGCTCTGGGTTAAGAGGCTCAGATCGTCGACCATCACCCGATCCAGCAGCGACACCGCTTCCCCGTGCAGATTTAGCACCAGTCCGAAGTGGTTGGGCCGTGTGAATACCCAGAATCTGAGCAGCCGGCAGCTCCTTGGCGTTCGGCCGGGTCTTGCCACTTTCCAGCCAGTGTACAGTGCAGGAGGCCTTGGAGTGGACCACACGAGCCACACCGGGCAGCGTGGTCAGAGTGCTGCTCTCAGCGGGGTAGAGGAAGAGCTCTTCCGGCTGGGATTTACCGGGAGAGGCTGTGCCGGACTGGCCGCCCTCCAGAGCCTCCCTCTCCATCAGACTCTTGAGCTGAGGCGTCGGGGTCAAGGACTCAGACATCACTGATGGACAAAACTTTTTTTTTTTTTTTTAAACACATATGCAATCGATACTTCTGTACGAGGTTGCAAACAAACGGAGGTTTTGAAAGGATACGATGCGCTGGTCGTGATACGTCCACTTCTGTTTCAGATACTCTATGAGGCTGGAGACTTTCCTGTGGAGCTCCACCACCATCCTGCGTTTGAGAAAATACAAAATAGATAATTGTTAGTTTACAAGCTGCTGTGGTGCTGGACATCACTGCTGAGTAATGGAGTTGTGATGCTCATAATATATTAAGACCTTTTATGTCCCAGACCACATTTATTCTCATGGATATCATTAATATGAACATTCATCTGGACAATAAAAAAATACACTATACATTTATTATTAGGAATTATTTGGACCATTTTTCAAAGCACATACTTATATCAAGTTTTAAAATTGTTGTTTTGGTCAATCTCGTGTAGTCATGTGGTTTTTATTATTAGGAATTATTTGGACCAATTTTCAAATCACATACCGTAATTTTCGGACTATAAGCCGCGCCTTTTTCCCTATTTTTCGACGCTGCGGCTTATATAACGGTGCGGCTAAT